GTAGGGGTAGTTTAAGAGATTTACCCTTTAATTTATAATGAAATTATTTTTAAATATTTATTGCTGAAGATAATATTATAATAATAAATATATTTATTTTTATATTTATTAGTAATTATGTATTGGCATTTTATTTTATCTATTATTATTTTTTATTATTATTTCAAATTATTTTTAGCTTAAATTGGGTTTTTTTTTATTATGATCGTATGGGTGCAAAAGGATCGGATCATTTAATCGAAATCCGTTCCTATTTTTGTTAGCTTCAGATAACCCTCTATCGAATTTTTGGATTTGATCCAATTGGAATTTGGATCACCCCTATCCGGTCCGATAGGATCCGATAATGATCTATATATGTATATATTTATAAAYATATTTACTTATAAAAATATATGTATATATTAATATATTTATTTATAAATATGTTTATATTGCATTTTTTGTAAGTTTCTTATAAAAAGACATGTAATATACATGATGAAAATAGTTGAAAAGAAATACTTATATTTTTTGTTTTTCTTTATATAAACTTTTTTGTTTTTTCTTTTAATAATTATTAAAATTTTTCATAATTTGAATCGGATCGGATTAGATTCATACATCTAACATCCTTAACATATCCAGATTTAAATCATAGAGATCCAATTGGATCTTGTATTTTGCTAACAGATCGGATTCGAATATACCTTGATTTGAATCCGATCCAATCTATTTGCATCCCTACATGATCGATTGTGTAAATTATCTCACAAGTTGTATATGATATATACAAAATTAGGGTTGTTCATGGGTCGGATTGGATCGGTTTACTGGCGTTTTTCCAACCGACCCGACCTGGTCGGTTTACCTAGAAATGAAATCGAAACCGACCCAGTACTAAGTAAAACTGACTTGGTCGGTTTGAATCGGTTTGGGTTGGTTTTGTGAATGATTCTCTCGGTGTGAACGGTAAAGGATTCAAGTCTAAGAAAGCAAAGGCTGGATGCCTGGAAATTAAAAATGATTTGATGGATTAAAACTGATATTTTATATAATATATATATATATATATTTCCACAAATATATATCTGAAATATATATTAAAACTGAAATATATCAGATATATAAATATATATTGGTTTCGATTTTCACACATGAAAATTGAAACCGAACCGAACCATCGGTTATGTTTTTTTATAACCCAAAACCGACTAGTGATGAAAAAAAACCAGCCAACTCGGATTGGATCGGATCAGGTTGATCGATTTAATTGGTTTTGGTCTTATTATGAACAGCCATATACGAAATCAATAAGTATGGTTTGAACAAATCCATATAATTTTATCCACAATTCAAGAGGAGGTATAAACAACAGTATAGTGTAATTCATCTCTATCACAAAGTATGGTATAGATTAGTCTATATCATCAATTTCTCATACACTTTACAAAACACCCTTTTAATTGACAACAAACAATTTCACATCAGTATCATCGGAAGAAATTTACAATTCACGGTTGAGATGTGGTGTGGGGCGCTGATGTGAACTCATGTTTGACCTCTATGACCACAGCCTATCTTTGTTTTTTCTTTTTAATTTTGATATGGGTTATGGGTTATGGGTTATGGATGCACACCACGAACTCATCACATGGTGGCCATGTGCGCCCCGGCCTAACATAAACATAAACAAACGAGTCAGCTGCTGGGTGGGTTTACACCTATCACCTATGCCTATAGGCCCTATACTATACTAGTGGTGTAAAAAATAAAAATTATAAAGAAATATGGGCGTTTTATTCACATCTGACATCCCCACATTATATCAAAAGTAATAGCTAAGCAAACTGACGGTGAGACAAATACAGACTAAAAGTTGATTTGCATAAAAGAATAAAGCCGCTTTGGTTTGTTTTCTACTTTTTACTTTCTCTTTGATTATTGGCCTCCTATTGGAACTGCTGAGGTGCATTTGCATCATTATTTATTTCTCTCTGTCTCTCTTTCTCTCTTTCTCTCTCCAGCAAATAGCAAACTAGCAATGTCTCGATTCTTTGAATTAAAGCAGTGTTTGCTTTGTGGTTTGAGAATGCGCTGCAAACAAATCAAGTCCAAGTGCCCATCAACTTCCAAACCGACACAACCGTCTTTTACTTTAATTCACTTAAAGAATTCAAAAGGGGATGATGATTGAGATTGAGTAAGACCAACTTTAAAGACCCACATCCATAGCGTTCGTCCGAATAGTCTGACTTGATAGTAATTGGCATGGTACCCAAACACAAGCCCTAAATAAAATCGACCTACAACATGTTGACCGGATCTGACATGAATTTAATACCAGTAGAGGCAACAGTATGAGAATTTGGCACCTAAATTGCCCCCAAAGTTGAAGTATTTCCTCTTTTTGCTCCTTACAAATACAAATGCAAAACCATATATTTTTTTCCGTATATATTTGCATTTCTATTCTTTCCAAATTAAGCCTTAATAACAAAATCCCACCCAAAAGTTTCTTGCGAAAAAGAGGGGTGAATGTAAAAGAGTGTAGTATTTATGGGGAAGCGGAAGATTTTAACCACATATTTTTAAACTGTGATGATGCTAAACAGACTTGGAGTATTCTTCAGTTCGAAAATCTAAGGACCCGGCCGTTTGATTTGTGGGAATAGGGGTCTGGAATTTGAATCAGAATGGATTATTTTGATTCCAACTGTTTAGTTGAGCGATATCAGAATTCCATTCCCATTCCTTCTGGAATGGCATTTCCTCAATTGAGAAAATGATCATTCTCTGCCTCTCTCTTGGGAATGACATTTTATTCTTGTTGATTTCAATTTCCACACTCATTCTTGTCCGAACCAAACAGACTGGGAATAGACCATTCCGATTCTGGTTCCGATTCCAATTGTAAGCCAAATGGGCCCTAAGACCCAATCACTAGGGGATGGTGTTCGAACATGGTGGGAAAGAGTGTCTAGAATCACTAATGCTATAACCCACAAAAAAATATTTCTTTTTTTTTTTTTATGGAGATTATGGAAGAGTAGAAATGGGAAGGTCTTCAAAAATATCACCATTCCTCCAGCCATACTATTTAGTAAGTCTGTGGATGATAGCGAAGAATTCAACAGATTACATAACATTGGAAGAATAGAGAAGGAACCTAAGAGTATCTGGGTGAGATGGTCCATTCCATGGTTTTCAAAATCAGACCAGACTGGACAGTTGGATCGGAAAAACCGGGAACCTGTCAGGTGACCAGTTCCGTTTTCCCTAAAAATCGGATTTCCCTCTAAAACCGTTGATTTTGATCAGCGAACCATTGAACTGGGCGGTTAATTGTTTGAGCAGTTTTGACTGTTTTTTATTTTTTTGAAATTCTTTTATTTTCTTGTTAGAACGGGCCGAGTATTCAATTCGAACATTTGACCCGATAATCAGACCCCTAATCGGTTCGATTTTAAAAACCATGGTCCATTCCAAATGAAGCTGTGATCAAGATAAATTCTGATGCGTCAAGTAAGAGTGATGGATCGACCGCGATTGGTTGTATTGTGAGAAATGACAAAGGAGAAGTGTTGATCTATAAAAGTAAGTTGGTGGGTCATTGCTCCATCAAACACTATGGAGGCTTGGGCTGCCTTGGAAGCACACATCATTGCCAAATCATTTGGGAAGTTTAGCATTTTCATCGAAGGAGATTCAGAACTGTCTCAAAGGCCGATATCCTTATTTCTGATATCCTTATTTTGGATCTTTGGATCGGATTGGATAATCAGATCTAAATTCAGGTCATATATATATTTTATTTATATTGTATTTTGTAAATTTTTGTATATTATTTACTTTTTAATAAAAAAAATAGTTGAAAAAATACTTATATTTTTTGTTTTTCTTTATTTAAACTGTTACATTTTCTTTTCCTTTTAATAATTTATTAATTTTTAAAAATAATATCAGATTGGATCAGATTCAAATATCCACATCCTGATTGAATTTAAATAAATATTTATGGTGAGATCCAATCAAATCTTTAGATCGAATTTGAATATAATCCAATCCGTTTGTATTCCTAACTAATCAAGTTAACTTTTTAAATTTGGAGGGTCAACCTCTATAAATATTAGCTTAGGCTGCATTTGTTTTGTGGTGTAAAACGTCATTGTCAGTTTGATTTTGTCGATGTTAGTTTACAATGTAAAACGTTAGATCTCTGATTTGATCTTATTGACATTTCAATAGAGTGGAGTTTTATAAAATTTTACATTGATTATTGATATAAAAACTAATCTGTGACATCCACGCAGTCCCAACGCAACCTTATACAGAACTAGTAAAATTGATCGACATCCACGCAGTCCCAACGGACAAACCTGTGACAACGACATGCATTCTATGTTGGTCCGTGGCCAGGCCACCATTTATTGCAAGTAGAAAAATATTATTTTTTGGATAAACAAGTAAAAAATATTTCAGGGACTCGACGTATATGATAAATTGAATAAGGATGGAGGCCAAAGCGAATTACATTAATAACTTGCATTGTGGAGAGTCTCGGCCTCGGGGTGATAACTGATAACCTCCGACCCGGGAGTCCGGAGTCCGGACCACTGCTACGAACTACGAAGCCCACAATTTACAATGCAAATATCCTGCCAATAACAATTGTTTAAGTTAATACACGACTGATTATTTGATTAATGTATTATTTTGGCTTGTAGTAATTAGCAACTGTACAACAAAACATATTATTCTCCTAATAAATTCCTTGAACGATGAGCATTTGCATAATATGCCCTTTTAAGCCCTTATTCATTAATTAAATAATTAAAGTTTAACAAAATTAATTGCTTAATCGTTATATTAGTGATGATAATCAAGGGTTATTTTAGTCAACTACAACAGCTTTTAACTTTTCAAATTTCAAAATATAAGTAATATATATTTTTTTGTTATTACTTATTTTCACCTGTAGACACTGTGTAGTACTTTCGCTTTACCTTTTTAGGAAGTTACACTGCTCGCTCACACTCATAGTCTCATACCCCCATCAAGGCTGAACTTACTCCTCCAGTCCTCCGTCCTCTCCCTTCCCGCATCTCCTCCCTCTGTTATGCTTATGCACATTGAAAACTTGAAACCCCATTCCATGTCTATATGATCCCTCGAGACCACCTGAAATCCTCTGATATCGACAGTTATTTTTTGAAATGGCAGAAATCCACATTCTTGCAACATTTCTTTCTATTCTACTCATTTTAAGCTCGGCTCCAATGGTGGAATCTGCCATCGGCGTAAACTGGGGGACAATATCTTCTCACAGGCTCTCACCCTCCATTGTGGTCGATCTCATCAAGGAAAATAAGATACACAAAGTCAAGATCTTTGATGCAGAGCCAGATGTTCTTTTATCTCTAATGGGGAGCGGGATTGAGGTTATGGTAGGGATTCCAAATGAGATGTTGGCCGTATTTAGTTCATCTCCTGTAGCTGCAGATTTGTGGGTTCGCCAGAATGTGTCCAGATATATGGTTAAAGGTGGCGTTGATATCAGGTATATATGCATGTATTCTGTCCGTTTTTTATTTTATTCCTCTCCTGCTTGCTCGGTCTTCATATTTTGTTGCTTAAATATTCTGGATTTAGATTGATGTAAATCTTCTCTCTCGATATGCTTTTGTTCTGCTTATTGCCTGGTTGAGATATTCTATCTTTTCAAGCATTGGTCTTACGATCTCTGAACTGACGTCTTTATCTATTTTTTTATCGGTTTCCTTTATATCTATTGTTTCTATCAATATTTTCTCTTTGGTTGTTTCATATATACATACTTAGTAGTATCTCTTATTTGCTATTATGTATATCCGTTAATTTATTTTTTCTTTTTTTTTTTTTCTTTGGGTGGGGACTAATCACTCGTTCTGTTAAAGTTGGTAGGGCGTGATTCATTGTGACTCTAGTATGTGAGGCTAACTGTTTTTTTTTTTTTTTTTTTCATTGAAATGGCTGCTTCCCATCCTGCACAAGGTTATTTAGAGGTGCCCCTTGAATGAATTCAGTGTCTTCTCCATTCACTCTTGTATTACAAGACTGTAGATGCCATCTTGGCCTGAAGTGTTTCATTGTTACCCCCTTAAGTGTCTTGGTGGAGCAGAACCCACGTTCAACAAATATAGCACCATGTCCTGAAGAAATAGAATCAGGCACCATTGACATGTCAAGGACTAGCATGTTCTCTCAATGTTAACATACTATTCATCCTTAGCATTGTCACGAACGATTTTTTTTCCAAGTGAGCTATATTTACTTGATTTCTAAGACAATACTGTTGTTAACTTTGTGATTTTTTTTGCTTCTTTCACAATTCCCTATCTTGGGTACAACTTCCAAGTTAGAAAATGATTTTTTTTATCACACTCCACTCCTTGGCACCTTGCTCCTCATCTCTTTTGAGTACGATACTTCCTACCATCAGTTCTTAAAATTTTCATATATGAATACTAGAAGTTTATTTTTTTTTATTTGTTACTCCATGTATTGTGCATAGGCTAGGTGTTAAGATAGTTCTTGGTGCAATTGTGTGTTTGTCACCTAACTTATACACAATACATGCATATATTGTAGGCATTAAGTTTTACGATAGAAGAACAATTAATGGACCACAATGGCTGAAAGTTTTCACACTAGAAGTTACCCATGTGATGCACAGATTAATGCTGCAAGGGCATTTGTTCAAAAATGAAGTTTTCAATTACACTAGTTACTAGTAATAAAATATGAATTTTTAATATATTAATTCTTAAATGATTAAACAAAGCTATTATGCATGTATACAATCACTATTTATAATTGCAATAGCAGAAAATTTATATAAAAATTAATTATTTAATATATTTGTATTTTCTTGTAATTTTAATTTTTCTTAATGAAGTGAAAAATTCACAGGTGAGTTTTCTTCCATGCATCAGTAATAACAAAGTGGTCAAAACGATCCAAAAAACTACATTTATGGATCTTATAGTGGCTCTAGAACTCAATAGCCTAAGATGAACTCACAAGCATTTTGTGAATCTACCATACTCAACATCCATATGTGAAATAAAAACTTGAAGAATCGTAGTTCTTCTTTCAATCAATTTGTCAGTTGTCACATTTGTTGTTGGAGTACAGATCAGTCCACATTATGTGTGGTACAATTGCAATACAGCCACCTTTGCCATTATTTGTAAACACTGAACTGAATAACTGCAAGCACTGAATCCAATTACATAAAAGTTAAATTATTTTATTTATTTGTATTTTTCTTGAAATAGATGATGTGAAAAACCCAAGGCTGGTTTGTTTCAACTCTTAAATAGAAAGAGGGAGGATGATTGAAGGGTGAGGACTGAAGAAGAAAAGACAAGGGAGGGAGGTATAATATTCCTAATTAGTATTAGGAAGATGAGATAGAAAAGGAAAGCTTGTAGGAGGGATGTGATGTGGGGATAGAGGACAGGGGTAGAAAATTGAGATTAAAGGAGAGGTTTTCTAAGAGAGAGGGGGTGCATCATAGGGTATAGGTAATTGACTACACCAAATCATATAGGAACCAACCAATTTTTTACTTATATTTAAAAATAATAAAAAGCAATAGTTGTATGATTTGATGTAAAAAAGTCAAATATATACAATAAATGACAAACTTAGCTGTATGGCTTGATGAAATTTGGACCCTCTTCCCCATTTAAATTCTGGTAAATGGTAATGACTCCATTGTTTACAGTCTATGTGTGGGACGAAAGAAACAATCGTATCTTTGAAAACAAAGTTAAATCCTTTATAGATTTGATCTCTCATATAACCTACTTGTGTAATATGTGGGTGGTTAATTTTTTGGAGTTCAAAGGAGTCTCATTGAATGACTTTCAAAGTAATGTGGTGGAGATCCTCAACTCCCCCAGAATTCTAAGCAGTCCCAGAATCTTTCCTACTTGGGAAGAGGAGGTGATGTCAAATTTTGATGGAAGTGCCCTGGGTAATCTGGAGCAGTGGGGATTGATGGTGTATTCAGGAGGGCTGGAAGTTTATGGTGGATTTCAGTGGACTGATTGGAAATGCTGATTCTACAAAGGATGACATTCTGTCTGCACTTAAAGGGCTCCTAACTGCGAAAGAGTTGGGACTGTCTTTCCTAGCCATTGAAGGTGATTCTGTTAATACTATAAAGTGGCTCAAAGAGAAGGATGACATCCCTTGGAGGATAGCTCACTAGCTGGCTGAGGCAAGAGATATTATAGATTCCTTGACTGTAATACTTAACTGGCTTCCTAGGGAATTAAACTCTTTAGCAGATGTCTTGGCCAGGTCTGGTGTCCACAAGGAAGCTCTGTTTAATGATAGAACTTGCTTATGTAACTTCTATTTTTTTGACTTGTTTACTTTGTACATCATCTCATGTACCCACTTTGATTTCTTAATATAATCAGTTATTTATTCTGAAAAAAAAGTGTATATTGCATACTAGTTTGAAAAATCTTTGCGTTTTCCACATTTATCTTTGTATGCTAGTTTGAAGAGTTTCATGAGTGCATTTTCTACTTGCTCTTAATGTCCACAATTTGATTACAGGTACATTGCTGTTGGGAATGAGCCCTTTTTAACGAGCTACTCAGGACAATTCCAACCTTATGTCATGCCTGCTTTGCTCAACCTACAGCAGTCCTTGGCAAAAGCAAATCTGGCAGGATTTGTGAAGCTAGTAGTTCCTTGCAATGCTGATGCTTATGAGTCTACCCTCCCTTCTCAGGGAGCCTTCCGGCCGGAACTAACACAAATCATGACTCAATTAGTTTCCTTCCTCAGTGCAAATGGCTCCCCGTTTGTAGTCAATATCTATCCCTTTCTAAGTCTTTATGGAAACTCAGATTTCCCACAGGACTATGCATTCTTTGAGGGAACAACTCACCCGGTTGCAGATGGGCAAAATGTTTATTACAATGCATTTGATGGAAATTTTGATACTTTAGTTGCAGCTCTCAACAGAATTGGATATGGTCAGATGCCAATAGTAATTGGTGAGGTAGGCTGGCCCACAGATGGAGCCCTGAGTGCAAATCTCACTGCTGCAAGGGCCTTCAATCAGGGCCTCATAAATCACATCCTGAGCAACAAGGGAACCCCTCTGAGACCAGGAGTCCCGCCCATGGATATTTATCTTTTCAGTCTACTTGATGAAGGTGCTAAGAGCACACTTCCTGGGAACTTCGAGAGGCACTGGGGGATTTTCTCTTTTGATGGCCAGGCGAAGTACTCTCTGAACATGGGCAATGGGGTATTAAAGAATGCAAAAAACGTCCAATATCTTCCATCAAGATGGTGCATTGCAGACCCAACCAGGGATCTTTCAGGTGTGGTAAGTCACATTAAACTTGCTTGCAGTGTTGCAGATTGCACAACACTCGTCTATGGGGGTTCATGCAATGGAATTGGGGCCAAGGGAAATATTTCTTACGCATTTAACAGTTATTATCAGCTGCAAAAACAGGATTCACAGAGCTGTGATTTTGATGGGCTTGGACTGGTTACTTTCCTTGACCCTTCAATTGGTGACTGCAGGTTTCTGGTTGGAATTAGTGACACTAGTTCTTCCAGTGGACCATGTGGTGGTTGGTTTGCAGCTTGGGTTATGGTTCTGTGGATGTTTGAGTTTCTAAGAATTATGGGTTCTTTGTAATGTGGAAGTGGTTTCTTGAGTGGGTTTTTCTCGGTCCCTTCTGAAACCTATTGTAAAAGTTATACATTGAAGAAAGAAAACTACAGTTACTGAGAGTGTATTCAAAGGAGAGTTTTATTTTAGAGATTATAGTGGTTGTATCTTACAAGAAAAGATGGTAAAAATTATTCTCCCATTAGGCTCTTCCTCTATGAAAATTTCTCTGAGCAAAGACAAATGGAGGTGACTCATCACCTCTCTCTATATATATCTTTGTACATGTAAACTATACACAAGAATGAGAAATTCTTGCTTTGTTTTTCTATCTCGATACCATTCTTACATGGTATCAGAGCGGCAATCCGCATCTCCTTGCTTCCTCTGCATTCCTCGTTTCTTTTATGCAAATCTTGATTTGGTTCGAGTTCGGTGGATCTTGATCAAGCTGTGCTTCCTCTACTCAGTGATTCTTGATCCAGTCGTGCTTGCTCGGTTCAACGATTCTTGATCTGGTCATCTCCCTACAACTCTTGACTCAACTGCAATCGGCGCTTTCTTGATTGAGCTCTTTCTTTGCAACTGTTCTTGCTATTTACATGGAGATTGAACATAACTCTCCTTATTCTCTTTCTTCTTCGGACAGTCTAGGAATGATGCTTGTGTCCTTTCCTCTCACTGGCGACAGTTATCCCATGTGGCAAAGAGTAATGATCAATGCCTTGAAAGTAAAGAACAAATTAGTCTTTGTTGATGGATCTCTGCCAAAACCAGCAGCTGGTGCTGCAGAATTCAGTGCTTGGACCAAATGTAATGCAATGGTCATTGCGTGGATCTTCAACTCCTTAGCAAAGGAAGTCTACAACAGTGTAGCATTCGTCGACACAGTAGTAGAAATTTGAAAAGAACTCCAGGATCATTTTTCACAAGGAAACATTCCTCGGATATACGAATTGAAGCGAGACTTGGCACTGTTGTGTCAAGACGATCTCACTGTCAGTGCATATTTTACAAAACTTAAGACACTTTGGGATGAACTAAATTCTCTCACGGTGTACCCTGAATGTACTTGTGGAGCTGCCAAGATTTTTCCAATGGAGCGTGACAGAGACAGAATCCATCAATTTTTTATGGGTCTCAACGGATCGTTTAATACGGTTCGATCAAACATTCTTGGATTTGGGCCTTTGCCTACCTTAAACAAGGCCTATGCCCTCATAATACAAGAGGAGCGTCACCAACAAATGATGGTTCCCTGTTCTTTGCAACCTGAAGCTACAACACTCACAACAAGGGATAAAGGTACCGGGGTGTCACGACCAAAACTCCGGTGTGACCATTGCAAAAAGAATGGCCACACCAAGGATCGATGTTATGCTCTCTTTGGATATCCTCCAAATTGGAATCGGCACCGAAATGAAAAAACGCCAATTGATGACTCTGGTAAAGCCACCCGATCTGCTGCTCTTACAGCTACAGATAATACAAACCAACCAAATACATCAATGAATCAGAACTCACCGGTGGTTGGCCTAACTATGAACCAATACACTCAATTGATCTCTCTTGAATAGAGAATCAATTGACTTTGCAGCCTCAGTCTCAGTTGGTAAGGATACTGTTCTTGTCATTGATTGGATTATTAACAGTGGTGCTTTAGACCACATGGTATCAAATGATGCCTGTTTGATACCTTTGTTAATGTCACACCCACAAGCATCCGTCTTCCAGATGGATCATTGACCCGCACAAATTTGCGTGGATCCATCACCATTGGGTCACATATCCTTCAAGATGTTATGCATGTTTCCACATTTCATTGCAATCTTTGGTCTGTAAGCAAGATTACACAACAGCTAAATTGCATTGCCATTTTCTTCCCACATTATTGCATCCTTCAGGACCCACTCTCCAAGATTGTGATTGGGACGGGTGAGCTCCGCAATGGGTTATACCATTTCAGATTCCACCACTCCACCAGCATTGGTCATTCGATTAGTGTTCATTAGTCCACCACTGTCAGTTCTTCAATTTGGCATATGCGTTTGGGGTACCCTCTCGATCTCGTTTAGCTCTCATTCATGGGATCTCCATTTCTAATTTGAAGATATGTTGTGATGCATGCCATCGGACCAAACAAGCTCGTTTTCCATTTTCGATCAACAACACTCGTAGTAAAGAACCTTTTTCTTTGGTACATTGTGATATATGGAGAGCTACAAAACCCCCTCTCATTGTGGTGCTAGATATTTTCTTACCTTGGTAGATGATAACACAAGATGTACTTAGGTATACCTATTAAAGCGCAAGTCAGAGGCTGGTCAGTACTTGATTTCTTTTTGTGCAATGGTCACTAGATAGTTTAATACTTTTTTTAAACAAATTCGTAGTGATAATGGCTCTGAATTCTTGTCTAGGCCGGTTCAACATTATCTTACTTCACAAAGGATACTGCATCAAACCTCATGTATGGACACACCCCAACAAAATGGGGTGATAGAAAGAAAACACCGTCATCTATTGGAGGTGGCATGGGCATTGATGTTTGAAGCCTCCCTTCCAATTGCCTTTTGGGGAGAATGTCCACTCACTGCAGTCTATATCATAAACCTACTACCCACCCCATTACTATCTAATGTCTCTCCATATGAAGCCTTGTTTCACAAATCCCCATCCTACCATCACCTGTAGGTTTTTGTTTGCCTTTGTTATGCCCAATTACAATCATGTCCACATGACAAATTTGTCCCTTGAGCCCATCCTTGTGTCTTTGTGGGCTACCCACATGGTCAACGTGGCTACAAAGTTTACAACCTAAAAACTCATAAAATCTTCACCACAAGAGACGTCATTTTTTATGAGAATCATTTCCCATTCAAGAATGGGCCATTACTTACCCAACCCAACACATCTGTCATTCCTTTACCACCTTTAGACGATTTTGATTACTCTAGCCCACCAACCACCATTGACACTACCCAACACCAAACCCTCACAGGCCAATCTCTTATGACCGAACCCACTCAAGCCATCAATCCTACACCACCAACACCACTTCCACATAACCACGTTGACACACTTGAACCCACTACCAATCATCCAGTGGACTCTCCATCATCACCCATCACCCGCCCACGCCGCAATACCACTATCCTTATTCAATTCCATGACTACATTTATCAACTTCCTCCTTCACTAGCCCAATCCCATCTTGCTTCCCTTCAAGATGAACCCAAGACCTACAACCAACCAGCCAAAGACCCACGATGGTGTCAAGCTGAAGGGATGAGAGATCCATCATATGGATGGCCGAACCTTGCAGGAAGGTAGGGCGAAATTTCAAAAATTTTTCTCTCTCCCATCTGGGAATCACATTCCCTGTTTTAGAAAAACTGTATTTTTCAACGATCAATCTTGACCAAGAACCAAACCAGATCTGAACCAAAACAGTAGGAGAGGGATATACCTGATACGAAGAAATAATATCTTCCAATAGAGGTATTTACGCCCAAGGAATGATCCAAAGACTGCTTCCACTGAAGATGACACAGTGCAGGATGGAGTAGAATCAACAGTGTTCTTCCAAAGAACCAAATCCTTCACCAAGAATTCGCTGGAGGGTAGGTGAGCAAAAATCCCAATCAGTTTTTCACCAAAAACTGATATCAAGAATGCTTCTTGATTGCTCCTATAACAATGGAGATCAAACTGGCTATGGCGGCAACTGGAGGAGAACGCAGGGAGAAGATGGCGCGGTCACACTGTTGTTGTCTTCTCTCTGTGCGATCTGAGATCTGATCTTTGGAATTTGGGATGGGCTGAATGGTTCGCCCCCTGCTCCTTTTATAGACTTAAAGAGATAAGCTCCTAATCCCATTAGGAGTTTCCTGATTCAAATCCTTATTTGAATCTGGACTCTCTTTAAGAGATAAGGATAAGTCCTTATCTTATCTGCAGATTAGATCAACTCTCTCCTAATCTCATTAGGAGGTTTCCAGGTCCAAATTCAGATCTGGACTCTCTGAGTGGATAGGGTAAGACCCTATCCTATCCGCTAATCCAATCCCAGATCTGCTCCTCTCTTTAATTAGTCCAACTAAACCAGTTCGAAATGGGTTTTAGGCCCAATAAGTCTATCTGCTCAGTAACCCTCCAAATTGCTGCCCAGTTGGGCTTCTTTGTATGGCGTGGGACCCAAACATTGATCTACACATCAGCCACATGGGTTCAGCCCAGCCTTTGTTACAAGGCCTGGCCGAATTCACTAAAAAGACAGTGAACCCCTTGAAGCCCATCACATGGGCTCCTAATGGGCCCAACACTTACACTAAGTGGTCCCTGGGCCAAGCCACCTTATAAAAACCCAGGGACTGTGGGTAGATGCAAGATTAGCCCATCAGGTATTACCATCGATGGTCTTACACTTAACCTCTCATCCCATAATGATCAAACACTGCCCGACAAGAGAGGACCTCTCCCTCGGCTGCAAGGAACAGTGCTGCACTCTATACTCACATGGATCCCGATAATTAAAACCTTTTGCAAACATTTTGAAACCATAATATATATGTACATCCGTATATAAATATATTTTGCAAAACAAATTTCAACGATTGAAATCGGCTGCCGGTAGTCTTGGTTTCCATCAGAGAAAGTGCATCCCCGATCATTACCTTTATCCGACAAAGGGGCTGATCCTGTTACTATGATCACCCACTCAGATGAATTCTCGGACTGTCCCAACATACCTAGGTTTTGACCCCCGCTAAGGATCTCACTGATTGGCATATCAAAGACAGCCCAATCCGACACATAGTGTAGCATCATAATCGAGTCTAGGGGTCAGGTGTAACTTTCTAGTTTTGCCCACTAATCACCAAGGTCCAAGGCAATACTGGAAATCTGGTCCGGTTCAGGGTTTCAAGTAAACCTACATTGCATGTACCTCGGGTCTCATCCTAGCAGTTGAGACAGGCCACCCCAACACTTGGCGGCACATCAGTATCAGTGCCTTAGTAGGATAAATCTCCCCAGACTTATCCAACGGTTGTGAACATTCTAAGCTAACACAAGTCTCATAAGTGTCTAGTTTAAGGGTATTACACAGAAACGCACCACTATAACATAAATCAAATATGTACTTTATTCATTTACAATAAATGTCATAATGTATATCAATCTGATTGGAGCTAAGGACATACACTGTCTAACACTTGGTCCATTGTACCACTACCTCCTGGCAAGAAACTCATTGGGTCAAAGTGGGTCTAAATACAAGGCTGATGGTACTATAGAGCGCTTCAAAGCGCGACTTGTTGCAAAAGGTTACACTCAAATTGAAGGCCTTGATTATCATGACACCTTTGCTCTAGTGGCTAAAATCGACACTATTCAATGTTTACTCGTAGTTGCAGCCATCAAAGGTTGGGATTTCCATCAGCTAGACGTGAACAATGCTTTCCTTCATGGAGACCTCCATGAAGAAGTCTACATGACCATTCCGTAAGGCTTTGGGCATGCTTTTCCCAACCATATTTGTAAATTGAACAAGTCTCTCTATGGCCTCAAGCAAACCTCTGGAATGTGGTTTGAGAAATTCACATTGTCACTGTCATCCTTGGGTTACAAGCAATCGCCATCTGATCATTTTTTCTTCACACTTAAGTCGGGATGCTCCTTTGTTGTTGTTTTGGTATATGTTAATGATGTCATCATTGCAGGAAATGACACCACTCGCATTTTCACTCTTAAGCAACACCTAGATAATCTGTTTCGGATCAAAGATTTTGGCCCACTTAATTTTTTTCTTGGACTAGAGGTATCTAGATCAAGTGCTGGCATCTTTCTCAATCAACAGAAGTATGCTCTTAACATCATCCAATASACAAATATGATGGATTGCAAATCTTGTCCTACACCCATGGAACCTCAAAGACGTTTCACCGACACCTCTAGTCCAGCATATTCAAATCCAGTCCAATATCGTCGTTTGATAGGTTGCCTTATCTACTTAACAACAACACGACCAGACATTTGTTTTGTTGTGAACTATTTAAGTTGATTCATGCAAAACCCCAAACAAGAACATTTTGATGCAACTTTGCGAGTGGTACGCTACATCAAAGGCACTATGACCTATGGCATTTTCTTCTCAACCTCCAGTCCTCTCCAGCTCCATGGATTTTGTGATTCTGACTGGGCCAGTTGCCCCTTGACTTGTTGCTCCACCACAGGCTATTTGACTTTACTTGGAAATTCTCCTCTATCATGGAAATCAAAGAAGCAACACATTGTCTCTCGCTCCTCTGCCGAAGCAGAGTATAGAGCCATGGCCATTACTTCTTTTGAGTTAGTGTAGTTAAAGAGGATTCTTACTGAACTACAAGTCAATCTCTCCACACCTCCTACTCTTCACTGTGACAGCAAAGCCGCATTACACATTGCTGCCAACCGTCTTCCATGAGTGCACCAAATACATTGAAATTGATTGTCACTTTATCCGTGATCTCATCCAATGGGGCGAATTGACAACCACTCATATTTCTAGCACCTCACAGCCAACAAATCTCTTCACCAAAGTTGTCTCCACAGAGCGTTTTTTTTTCTCTTGTCCAAGTTGGGCATAAAACCAACCGACAGCTGTAATCTGCCATGTGGCCACGTGGGCAAATTCGGTGACTCATCACCTCTCTCTCTCTCTATATATATATCTCTGTACATGTAAACTATACACAAGAATGAGAAATTCTTGGTCTGTTTTTCTGTCTCGATACCATTCTTACAACAGAGGATCAACCTATGAACATAAGTCAGCGCAGTGCACACTCGCAAACTCACGAATTCAAAATACGGCCATGAAATCATAATAAGAAGATTTTCTTTTTTATTTTTTTGGTAACTATATATAAGACGGTTTAGATATTCGTCCAAAACAATAAGATTCCTTACTTCACAACCAAGGCTGTCTCATTGAATGTCCGGCTCTAATAATATTCAAAAGCTCTAACGAATTTTCTACGAGTGACCTGGGGTTGCTATAGGTGCCAGATAAGTTGTGTTGGGGAAAAATAGCTCTGCCATACCATCCTTATTGGATTTAAAAATAAAAAAGCATGTATGTGCTGCTATGTAGCAGAGATCAAAAGTGACAACTTTTGCCAGTGAAAAAGAAGGGACGAACCCTGTCTTACTTTGAAAACATTTTTACAAGAGAATTTACTGATTCCGGGTATAGGTCACACAAATTGTTGTACTTCTTTTACCTATCACGATGATCAGGCACCTTACAGGAACACTACTATTTACAGAACACAGAAGAACCAAAAAAAAARAAGTCTTGCTTCTGGATGTAAATCTACCCCATCCCTAGAAGTTRCTAAATTTTGTTATGGAGATTAGTTAGTAAAGCTTTATCCTTGTGGATATATGGGCCCGGCAAATAGGACATGATAACAAGTCTCTTCCACAATCATAGCATGTCTGCAGAAAAAAGAGCAGCCAATGATAAGCAATCAAAATCTTGCAACGAAGTGCTAAATTCTGCAGCAGCCCTACCTGATGGCCACATCCAAAAGCAAGGTCCTTGGCATTCCAGAAGCATACAGGACAAGTCTGTCAAGCAAAGAAGTGACAATCAGAAGTTAAAACAAAGAGTTAGTTATATGATCCAAAGCTCTAAAGCCAGCTAAACAGCTAAAGCTAATTCAATAAACACAAATGAGTTTCATGTTTTTGAAGAAACATGTAAATTTGTATGCAAGAGACAGTTTCTCGGCAAGGATAAATTTTCATTTGTGTAGTCGGCAAACATTGCCAAGGACTATTACCCAATTATAGCCCTGTTTATCTGGGATATTGGGACGGATAGACTGGATACAGACCTCACTTTGGCTTTTCTTTTCCCTCCAAAAATGGCCATCTTCAGACTCAAAACTGTATTCTCATTCTTGCATCCTGATATTTTACCATTGCACCAAGCAATGTGACCCCTATATGGGCACAAATTGCTGAACCGTTTTAAATCTTGTGTCTGCTCTGTGCTTGCTTGTTTTTATGCTTTGGTGGCTTTTTGGTTTCTAATTTAACATCAATAGTCTTAAACATCACAGATCAGGTCACAGTGTCAGGGACTTTGATGAGTTCACATGCAAGTTTCAGTTCAATAGCTGATTCCTATATAGCCAAAACAAATTCTTTGAAAATCCAAACCTCTAAGTCACTTTTATCTGAAGTATTTTGCAGTATGGAAAAACCTTTTGTACACTTGTATAAGCCTACACACCTGGTTGTTGCGTTGACTTGCAACATTACGTGAAGGATATTCTTCCGGAGGAGTATAAGTGCTGTTATATCCAGTACTATCTGCTGGAGTATAGGCATTGTTGTGATATCCAGTACCATACTCAAAGCTGCTCGATCGTGAGTACCTAGAACTGGAATTTCCAGAATTGTAACCAACAATTGGAGGAGGTATAGGAATCCTCTCTTGGATCCCTTTCCTGCGACTGCACAAAGACAAAGAAATGAATCACTTGTTTGTCAATCGGAATCTAAGTCCAGTCCTACCAAAAGTAGAAAATGGATTCAGTAACTATACCCCAGGAGCTGGAGCTCTAATGTTGCTTTGTACTGTGAAGGTATTTCCATCAGGGCAGACACAGCAAACTCTGTTTCCTTTTTGCTGGCAGGAATATTTCTTGACATGAGCTCTGTGAAGTTCACAAACTGCACAGAACAATCATAATCATGTAATGGCCCATGGAAATTGAATTAAATGAGTCATAAGTATTCCTAGACTCCTAGTTTAGATTTATCACCTGAAAGTTGTCAAATGCTCGAGCAGGAATATTGTCGTCAAACTGTCGCATCATGTCCCAGGGTCCATCACCAACACCCACCAAAACAATTGACAACGGGTAGTCACTACAAACAGGAGAAGTAGGCAATCATAAGGAATCCCAGATTATCTTAGATTATACAAAACTCTGCATGAATGTTGCATAAGATTACCTTGCTTTGACGATTGCATTAATTGTATCATGTTCCTGTGGACTCAACTGGCCAATTTCTGTATCAATGCTCCTTGTAACCTGAGGCACCACATTTATTATCATCAAGATCATCAATTATGAAAATTCATTGACAAACAAAATATAAACCAACAGCATTGCAAAAGCAGAAATTAAAATCTTCTCAAGTTATCCAAAAGTGACTCCAAATATCTAGGAAAATGACTCTAGGAGAAACTCCAGTAATCCTACTTTGTAATTCATAATTGAAAAATAGCATAGGGCAGACAAATGGCACAATGCCTGACCTGTCCATCTGCAATGATCATAAGAACATGATACTGTCCACCACTATTATCCACAATTCCAATTGCAGTCTCAATTATCGGAGCAAAGGATGTTGGCCCTATTGAAAAGAAGAGTAGAAGTCTTGATCAGAATATTTGACATCAAATGAACAAGAAAGAAAGTTGAAAGAAATTTACACCAACCTGCCAAGCGAAGCCGTGGAACTAATTCCCTATAACGTGTCAGTGCTTCCTCAAAGCCATTACAGGGCCTATTGTCTGGATAAAAGCTGAAAACTTCTTGGTCATGGGTTGATGCTGCAAGACGGGCATGATTGTTGCTCAGATCCAATAAAATCAAATAATAGTTAACTATAATAGTAGGTGAGATGCATAAATCTGTCATTTCTGTTACAGTGAGTCCTAACCATCTCCAAAGCCAAAACAAGGAATAAGGTTGTCCTCATCAAAAGCTGAAAGAGTCCTTCCAATGATAGATATTGCCTGTTCATAGGGGTTTGGAGAGTCTCCCAGGTGATGCAGGCTCCTACGGTCGAACGATCTTGCACCTGTCCATTCATTGCTCTTTGTGAAATCAATTCCAACAATGAGATTGGAAGATTCCAGACCAGATTGGGCAAGAGCATCTGTCACCTAAAACAAAAAAAAAAAAAAAAAAAAAAAGAGGGGAAAAATTTTTATCTAATGTAAAATATCAGAGAAATGGGAAAACTATTGGATGGTATAATCTTTGTTGCTAAAACTCCCAGAAAGAACCATTTTCAATGCACGAAACACAACAGTTTGAACAATAGATCATGTAATGTGCTCAGTTTGTAAAAATGACTAATAAGAATAAAATAATGTGTTGTGCTCTTTTTGCCTTTTCTCCTTTTGTTCATTATATATTTATAGCAGGAACAAACATGTACCATAATACCCAGATATATGTAGAGTGTCATGTTGTGCCAGAGTCAGAGACTTCAATTTTCATTGATAATTCTGTCTGATGCATTGCCAAGACCTGCTCTTGCCATATCAGGGCATCATAGAAACAAGATGCCACAATCAAATAAATTTCAATCTTTTTAAGTGAAAGTTTAAGACTCTTTTTGCTAAACGAGCTGCAATAGTAGCAAGAAGAAATAAAAGACTTGGTTGTACACACAAGGGCTACATAAATGAATAAGGCCAACTTTTAGTTTATCAACATTCACATGGTTCCAGCTTTTATTGAATTCAAGATTCAAAAGAGTTCTTATGGCTGTTAAACGAAATAGGAACAGATGATGTAGAAGAATCACTGTACCTGTTCAATGGAATTGTAATTGTCAGGAATCCTTGTATACTTTTTCTGTAGTCGACTTCTTACATCACGCTCAACATAGTTGCTAGAATAGGAGGGATAATAAGGTGAAGCATTAGGAATTGGCGGAGGCCCATAATCATACGAGGAAGGGTAGTGGCCACCCCTTCTGGACTGTTTGCCTCCCATTTAACACCAAGGAACCTTTTAATTCTGCCTTTCAGGTATGTAGCACTGATCAAACCTTCCATTCACGACCAAACCTGAAGATAGATTGACCTCAATTCATGAATTTTTCTGCAATAGCAAACCTCGAACAAAGAACATGAGAATGAAAATGATTCTCTTATGTAATTCAAAGTTCAATTTCTAAACAATTCCCCCCCCCCCTGCCCATAGAACAGAAGCCAATTAAGCCAATTAATAATAGAGAGATTCCATTAAAAAGAGAACATCATAGACATGGAGAAAATACTAGTCAAATTCTCTGAATCACATTGAAGTGTAGTGCTCCAGAACCAAGGATTAAAGCCCAATACAACATTAAACAAATCTACAATGATATTCCAAGGCAAAAAAAAAGCAGATTCCAATACTTAGAATCTCCAATCCAATCTATTCCAAACAAAACGAGACTAAGAAAAAAAATCTAAATAAGAAAACAGAGGGTTTAATATATAAAAATAAGTAAGTAATTACCATTAACAGAGAGCAGCAGAAAGCAGAAAAACCGTTCAAGGATCTGATGCAATACTTACGAAAACTAAGACGAAGTGCTTCCAACTAAAACCAAGAGCGAAGATACAAGGAAAAAAAATTCATGGGGAGGGAGTGTTCGAGGTTATTTCCGTGATAGCAGGGTCGACACTGACTTGTATATCTCTTCCTTTCTCTCACCTAAAAAAGTATTAATTTGAATAGAAACGATTCTGCGAAATTACTTCGAAATGAAAGTATTTTCACTTATTTATTTTTTCCTTCTAGAGTCTTGACCCCACACAACCAAACACCAAGCCCCGAGGGGAATTTTCAGTGGAAGGAAGAAACAAAGAAAACTGGCAGCTGTTGAATTGTCTGAAACTTTGATTGAAAGACTTCTTTTTTCTTTTCCATTGTTCTCTCTCTCATAAATTAACAATGAAACTTTTTTGTCAAATTGGATTAATAATCTCATACCAAAAAAAAAAAAGCGATTAATTTATTAAAATAAGTCGAGCAAACACTACAAATGAGGTATGGGTAATGGGTTGAAAGCCAGATCAATCAATTCATAAAAGAAATATAACGTGGGAACGAGTCAAGAGAGTCGAGACTGACGACCACCGATTATCTTCTCCTCCTCTAGAGATTGATTGAATGGATTATGATTATATACTCAAAATGATTATGTTATCTAAAATAAAAAAAAGATTATGTTGTACTAAAAATGTTAAGCTAATTTGGTTACAAACTAAAACAAGTCCTAGATTTTTTATTTTTTATTTATTTTTTTGGTGGGGGAAAGAAAACTTAAAACTTCATTACTAAAAGAGTGCTAGGACGATGCTAATCAGATGATGACTATTATCTACAAGATCACCGAAAAATTGGTTTTGGGTAGTCCGAATTGGCTGCACACAAAATCACGAATGAACACGAATGCTGATATGCATAAGGTGTAACTCATGGGTCCATGTTAAATAGCAAACAACAGGTAAAAGATAAAAGATAAAGGGGTAAAACTTTTGGGGTTTAATATTAATAAAAGTAATATATTTAAAAGATTTTCAAAAATAGGTTAACTTTTTAAAAATAATATCAATTATGGGCAAAAATACTGTTCATCTTCTTCTTCTTTCACCAGAGCCACCGCCTGCCACCACTCACCACTGCCGTTCATTGCTGCCCGTCGCCGCCTCCGCCTCCGACAACATTGTTGGAGGTGGCCGGAGGCAGAGGTGGCGGCAGCGGTGCTGGTGGTTTCTCTGTCCAATGCTACCACCTCCGCCCACCTCTGCCTCCACCTTCAACAACGTTGCCGGAGGCGGAGGTGGGTGGAGGCGGCGGTGGCGGGTGGTGGTGGACGGCGGCTCTAGTGAACAAATGGCAAGAAGAAGAAGATGAACAATGTTTTTGCCCTTTATTGATATTATTTTTAAAAAGTTAAACTATTTTTGAAAAATTTTTAAATATATTACTTTTATTGATATTAAACCCTAAAAGTTGCCCTTCTATGCTAGAAACCTAAAGATAAATGATAAAAACTTGAAGTTACGTACCCACGTAGGAATGACTCTGGAGTTATTTTAAGGAACAGATGTCAAAAAAGTTTTAAGTACTCATTTAACGTGCTTACAATATCGTGCTCATTTAACATGCTTACAATATCCGTGCCTACCTGATCCGAACTGGTTTCAGTAATTTCATATATGGTTGTAAATACAGAAATACCGAACAAACATGAGACATCCAAATCCCAAATGCTAACTTTGTTCCACTTTCCAAAGGATTTATTATTTATTAATTATAAATTTTATGTACTCTGAACGAAGGAGTGATGCTACAATATGAGTGCAAGTGGTCTGACTGGTCTCAATCTTAAGAGACCAAATCAACCCCCCACAACATCCCACAGCATATTCCTACAGTATATTTARAAGATTTCCTGATGATAATCTCAAAAATGATGATGTCATCAKTAGGAAATATTTCCAGACAGGGATGTGTTATGAGAGTTGTGGGGGGCAATATTGTAGGGGCTGATTTGAACTCCAATCCTTAATATCTGTGGAACCCCACGTGGCTCCGCTCCGCCCCGCCCCTCTGGCCCTTTCCCCATAGAAAGGAAATAAAATAAAAAAGAAATTATGCAAATTCTCCCGATCTATATGACTTGAAGGTTTTAAGAGTCAAGAGAATGGTAGTTGGTATTGTGATTTGTTGGTATTACCGGGTGGGTGGCATAGCCTTCTATCTTAGGCTTATTTATAGTTAAACAAATAAGGACCATGTCAGCTATTTATTTGCTTGGTGTGGTCAATGTTTGACAAAGTCGTTGAAAAAATCTAAACAACTAATCCTATTTGTGGGACACTTGTCCCTTGATCTAAGAGACCGAATAAGTCTAGGTGATTGGTAAAATCTTGGGTAAGGATTTCCAAATTCCAATGGTAAAATTTTGTATTGTTGAGTGCTAAAGGTCGCATTATAAATATGACCCTCTAGTCTGTCAACAAATACATAGAGAAAAAGAACCTCACTTGGACGATTGCCTCCTTGGGTCATAAACACATCCTTTGATTTCATGTTAGAAGAATCAAGCAAGTGTCACAACTGTTTGATTTGTTTTTAGTTACTATTGCAGGGTGCTACAATGGTATCCGAACCAGGTTCTAGCCAAATACAATAGACCTTGCTACGCCATAATGACACTCTCCATTTAAACCCTCTTTTCTTTTCTGTTTTTCCCTAAGAACGAGAGGAGATAGAAGCCTTCTCTTCCTCTTCGAACCTGAGCAGCTACAAGGTGGACATACTATTCAAATCAGTGTTTCATCTTGCGAGTTTTTTTCCGCCATAGACACCACCATTCGATCTATAGAAGTGGTCACTTCTTATCCTCAAATCTAACATATTTGGAAAGAGGCAATTAAACACTATTGCTGATTGACTGAGGCGCTACACTCTATTGATCATTTTCTTTTTCTGTTCTCACATCTGAAACTGAAACCAGCATAGATTGATCAAGGGTTATGTCCTCTAAGGTTCAAAGTATCGGAAATGCAAGGTGTATCAGAWAGCTAATTTTAAAAGACGTATCAAGATATGTTTTGGAAACGTATAGATACGAACGAAAAATCAAAATACGCATGGATACACTAGAAAATTCAAAAAAACTTTAAAAAATATGAATAATAATAAAAATGAGTTTTATGTGATTATAACTAATTTATTTAAATATAAAAAAACATTCTTTAATGATTTATATGAAGTATTGGGATATAATTAGTAACCATTGAAAAATAATACAAGAACTAAAATGTATGTGTATACATACTAATATTTATTAGTTAATATTTTTTTGAAGTCATTTATTAGTTAATATTTATTATATATAGATTTAGGTGATATTTATTATGCATACAAGTTAATATATTCCTTAATTTTTAATAAATAAATTTAACTTGTATCCATCTTATTATTATATAAATACTAATAATCAAATTTATAGCATTTGTTGGGAAACATCCACCAAGACAAAAAAGATTACTTTAAGTATAAAAAAACATATTATTCTAATAAGTAATTGAGATTGGCATAATGGTTAATTAATTAGTGTTGCAAGCAAATGACTTAGGTTCAAAACTTCTTACCTTTAGTTTATGTTTTTTAATAAATTATTTGACTTAAATAACATTTAATGATATATTAAATGCTGTAATTAAAGGTAACTTAAATGAGTATTTAATTAAATTATATTAGTATTTAGTGACGTCTCAAGGCTTAATTAAAATTGATATTAATAAGAGAGAAGATATAAATTAAATTTAAGTTTAAAAAGGAAAGGGAAATTAAATCCAGCTGATACATAATGCATATCAGCCCGTTTTGGGTATGTATCAGCCGATACATACCTGAAACGAACCGATACAAGGCGGACCTGTATCAATTCGATACGGATGAAAACCTTGATGTGGGATTGAAGTGAATACCGAGTGAATTGGGAGAATGAAAAATAAAGAAAAAGAATAATAAAAATTGTGGTAGTGGGATTGGAAGATATATATTACATAAAAAGAGAAGAAACACAAAATTTATATGTATGAGAACAGACCATTCTAACAAAGTCATTAACATATAATTCCCAAAAAAAATACAAATTTTATATGCATCAGAAGAGAACTATGTTACAAATTAAGTTATTAAACATATAATTCTCAAAATAACACGCTATTCATCCTGTGAACCAACCAATATTGTTTGTGGAACAATGCCTTTTATCACCTGAAACTATTCTCAAGGGTATCAACTAATTGCTAATGTCGCAAATAAAACCTTTAATAACCGATATGAAATATGAACAGAAAGGGGTGTCAATGAATTGGATTTAGATGGCATGTACCTGGGTGAGAGTGCAAGCATCCTTGTGAGACAGCGGAAAGCTAACATGTAGATGGCTAATAATGGGTAAAGCTAAAACTTAAACCACCCACTGCAGGTATTCCATCCCATATATAGGTTGTCAAATTTTATTTTGCATTTCTCTGCAAATTTTTCTTTTATTAATTCATATGTAAAATATTCAATAACTTGGCATTATTTTATTTAGTTGATTTGATGCTTCTTTTACCAATTTAGCTCTCTTTTTATTTTGCTTATAACTTTTTGTCACTATATAATGCTTTTTCTTTTGAATTAGTTTGTTGTTGATGGAGGGTAATTTGTCCCGACCTCATCATAGGGGGACACGTGGGTGTGACTCAGCAACCGGGTGACACTCCGATTATCCCGAGCTCCTCCTAAGTAAAGGAGCCCCCGAGCTCCTCCACAGTAAGGGAGCCCCCGAGCTCCTCCTCAAGAAGGGAACGCCCCGAGCTAAGATTCTTCCACAGGCATCCCAAGCAAAGGTACTGCAAGACAGGGATCTCTTGAGCTGAAGGCACTTCGGGGTGAGCTCGGGAGCCTCCTAATAAATTTGTTCCGATAGGCCTAAGTAGGCCGCCTCGGGTAGAATAACCTTAGTATGGTACCTCCAGCTCGGCATAGGGTAGCTCGGTGCAAGGTAGTTTGAAGGAAGACAACTCGTCGTATCACAAGAAGATCTTCCCTAACAACCGTATCTGCCAAACCTGGGGCCTTGCACCCACATCTTTCGCCAGGTGGCATTGTGCCTGCCAAACCTGAGAGGTGTCCCCCGTATGACAGAGTCGTACCCTGCAACAGTGACTTGCGCA